AGATGATGAAAGTAAGAATAACAACTTTATAAAACATTCTACTGTTTATAAATTTATGAATAGTATATATACTTCTATAACAATACTAGGAAGTATTATTCTATATATTCTCTTGATAATCAATATAAAAACGAAAGTTTATTTCTTGACGTTCTATTAATATTACTTTACGAGGGTGGAGAATATTCAGAAACAAATATTCGTAATGAAGTAGATAAAAAAATTTTTGCAGTAAGTTTTATTTAATAAAGATAAGATAAGATTTATTTTTATTCATGTAAAGTAAAGGACAATTTATATTTTATTTTTTAGGAAGGTGAAACTACTGCTAATGCAATTTCATTCTTATTTTGATTGCTGACAACATTTCTAGAAATTCAAGTACACACAGATTAAAAATTATTGAGTTAAAAATTACTTTATTAGTCTTTATCTTTTAAAAATTAAATGCATTTGTATAAAAAATTTGTATCACGTATCACATATCATGTTGGCATTTTTGATTGCAGAATCAAGTGTATCAAGAATTATATAATATGTATGGTTCAAACAATGCGAATGATCATCTTATTACATTCGAAGATACTAAGAAAATGAAATATTTGGAACGAGTCATTAAATAAACTATATGATTATTTCTTACTGCTCCAGGTATTGGACAAACATTATGTAGCGATACGAAAGGTATATTAGCTTACTCATAATAAAATAATTTTTATATATGTATTTTTTTCTATTGATATTTTTGACTGTTTTATGTAAAAATAATCGTCTAGGTTAATCTTTTATTTATCGTCTAAAGTGAACGAGAATCTTGGTAATACCGAAAAATAGCCCTGTCTTTATCACAATATTTGATCTTCATCGAAAAAAGAAATACTGGAAGAATCCCTTAACATTTATACCGGATCGATTTTTGCCAGGAAACTGCTATACAAAATATTTCCTGCCATTCAGTCATGGGAATAGAAACTGCATAGGTCATAAGATATACTTATCTATTTTTGAAATAATATTCTAATGAGTTGATCAGCTAAGTACATGTTTATTCAGTAATTCTCTTTTAGGACAAAAATTTACAATGCTCGATATGAAGTTAATTGCTGCTACAATATTAAGGAAATTTACTATATACACAGATTATGTAGTATCACTAGAACATGTTAACCTGAAATTAGGTAGAACTTTGCAACCAGCGGAACCTATATTATTGCGATTTTGCAAAACATGATATTATTCATTATTTTCACTACTATGTTATCCATAAGAGAACAGTTTTCATTTAGAATATCGATATTCGTAATGTTAACTATGCAATATTAGATGCAATATTCCAAATAGACTGAAAAATAATCATTTGCAAATAAAAATTGAGTGTATAACAGAATAACTCGAGTGACATTTAAGTTACTTTTACCAGTAAATTGCGTATAATAAAGATATTTCAAATTATTCGTTGATTTCAAAGTCAAATCATTTATAATATAATCATTTGTTTATTTTATATAAAGTTTTTACTCTTCTGCACTGTTTACAACACTGATTACAAGCGTTCTATTCTGACAAAGAAGAGAAAATAAGAATGAGAAGTTTAGTATCGAATATTATATTTCTTGTATAAATATAATATAAGCCTTTTATCGTTATATGTCTATAATTATTAATAAACGATTCGAATTATCTTTCACCATTAAAACCCGTAGTATTAAACAGACCACATACATCTTTGTGTATTATTTTCAATATATCTTAAGTAATTTTTCTATTATTTGCGAATGGAAAGTTATGCATTTTATTTTCTACACACTTTTTACACTTTACTATCTCTGAATCTAGTCCATTTAGCAAGCTATTTAATAATTGATTTTTACACAACGTATTTAAATAACCAAAATTTACATTTCTTAATACTCTATGCCATTTTTCTATTTTAGTCATTTTATTATTTAATACATTATTATTAACTACCGATTTTCTTTTATCAATCAAACTTTTTACATGATAAATAATTGTTATATTTTGTGCACGCTATTGTCGTTAGTTCTCTATTTTGATCACAAAGTTTCATTTCATCCCCTCTATAAACAATTGTATTATTTTTAGTTAATCTACCAAAACTTATTAAATTTTTACTCATATCTTTAGCCGAATATACATTATTAATTGTTACTTTATTCTCTCTTTTATCAACTTTAAAATATTTTTCCTCCTTTTCCAATTTGTGTTGTTTAAACTGACCTGTTATCTCATATAAAAGTATGTAAATATTTACATAATTTTTCAAATCAGTAAATTCACTAAAAAAAACTATCATTATTTGTTACATGATCAGTGTGCAACAGCTATCTATTAACCAGTGTATTTCGCCACTACATAATCTGTTTTTTTCTTTCCGTTTTTCCGCATGTTGAGCTCATCTCTGCCTCCTCTTTGCGTTTTCTCTGCCTTCTTTGCCACCTCTACACCTAGTAGTACCACGTATCATGCCACCCGTTGAGCTTCGGCAATCTCGAGCAAAATGTCCAGTTTTTCCGTACTTAAATCAACCTTTGTTTGCAGCAAAATCATTGCTTTTCCCACAATGATTTTCATTGTCTTTATTCATTTTCTATTCAGCTATTTAAAATTTATTCTTAACATATTCAACTGTTCTATCACTTTCATCTATAGCATCTATCAAATCACCTACATATATAACTATATGAGTCCGGCAACATATTCAACATGTAGTTTAAGTTTTCCTTTTCACTAACACTAGCAACAGCACTTTTTAAATCATTCATTTTTTTTCAAAATAACAAAAAACTTATGCTGTGTCACTCTATTTATCTAGTCTTACTCTATCCAACTGTTTGCGACAAGCTATTTGCAACGCAAATCGATTTCGCAAACGATGCAAATCGCAGTCGATTTTTTCAAATATTGTTTATTAAACTTTTTTATGATATCGTACGCTGTTGTTTCCTCACTAACAAATTCCAACTGTCTATTACTAATCGTTCCGAAAATATAATGCATTGCTTCGTATCACTTTCATTCCAGTCTGTTACTTTCTTTGGATTTTCTTTCATTCTATTTTAGCATTACATTATTTAATTAAAAAAAAAACAGACAATCTCTTTTTCCACAACAAGTGTATTCACTTTTATTCACTTTTTACGTATCTACTATCTACTATCATGTACCCTCACGTGTTTAATCTCAAAATCTCGCCACATGTCTCCTAATCTCCTTATTACACTTGCCACGTGCCACTTTATATCTTTTCACATTGGCCCTTTTTCTATTTATTTGCGATAACTTTTCTATTATTTTTTAACTCTGCCACTTATTGCTCACTATTTTTCACTATTTTTCACTATTTTTCACTATATTTTCTAGGAGCACTTTATTACTATTCAACTTTCAATTATTCATTTAAACAACCACGCTCTGATACCATGTTAAAATTAAAAGGTGAACCGTAGTTTAAATTATTAATGGTTTAACTATTATTAGGATAAAGTTTATTAAAAGAACATCTTATATCTACATTGCAATACATATGCGAGAACCTTACAGGCGAGACAAGCTTCGACGGCGTACTACAGCGAACCATACACTCTTCCTAGGCAGACACTCCCATACTGTATCGCGTTACATACCTGTGCGCTCTGCACTCGCTTCATTCTGTCTCACTCTCTCTCATACTAATGGAAAGTACAGTATAACATTCACACATTTCAAAATAAATATATCTCGTCTTTATTCTTTGAACTACAAACTCAGCTTCTTTAAATAACGGTTATCCTCCAACAACACAGTATCTCATGACACGATTTCGCTATAACACGATTCTTAAATTGCGGAAACCCTCCTACAACACGGCATCCTATAAAACTGTTTTCTTTTAAAAAAAGCTTTTTACAACACTGTACTTCTACAGCCGTGGTGAGGCTTGCCATTTTAAAGATAT